ATGTATGTGATCTGAGCGTCATTCGGTAATAATGTGCTCTCAGATCTAAGCTATCTGGGGATATGTTGCATGTATATGTTTTATGTAGTAATTGTAACATTGTGTAATTTTATGTCTTTTTGTAACCATGTGGTTAATGGAGTCTTGCCTCTGTCCTAGGAGATAATTTGATTACTTCCCAATTATCTCCAGGATAGAGAGGAGGGATTGTGATGTCACTGTGGGAGTGTTTTGTTTGTATTATCTGTGATTGGCTAATATCCAATATGTGTTCCATTGTTCCATCAAAGTTTTTTGTGCCTTATCACAATAGCACTTCGATATCTGTATAGGGAGCATTCTGAAGATATATAACAGTTTAGGTAGTGACATCATATTAAGGGCATTTATGCGGCCTGACCAAGAGATTCATACATTTCTCCACCTATCTAGCTCTTGTATCAATGTTGTCAGCATCGGTATATGGTTGTGTTTCACTAGCATTGCTATTGATTTAGTTTTTTTCACTCCGAGATAAACTGGAAGAGGCTAGAGAGGGTCGTTTGCTGGTTGTGGGGTATGTTAATAGGAGCACCTGTGTTTTGTCAGTATTAAGTTTGTAGTAAGAAACCGGCCCAAAGGTAGTGAACAGAGCAAGAGTTTGTGGGTCTGTTCTCAGATTTAGATGCCTTTTATGTCCGGGGATTCGCGAATGAGCTGAGTCAAGGCTCCAGACACAAACTAAACAAAAGAGGGGACAGGGGGCATCCCTGCCTAAAGTTCCTTGTTTTTTTTTAATAATTCAATGTAATATAATATATTAATAAACCATTGTGTGGAAATCTATTCACAAACCGGACTTTACATAGGACACGAGGTCATACATTTAGACTGGAAGAAAGAAGATTGCGTCTAAGGCAAAGGAAAGGTTTTTTTACTGTAAGAACAATAAAGATGTGTAATTCTCTGCCTGAAGAAGAGGTTTTATCAGAGTCCATACAGATGTTCAAACAGCCACTAGATGCATACTTGCAAAAACAGAATATTGAAGGATATAATCTTTCAATGTAGGGTAATAACTGCTTGATCCAAGGATAAATCTGACTGCCATTCTGGGGTCAAGAAGGATTTTTTTGCTACAAACTGGTTTTTTTTGCCTTCTTTTGGATCAACAGCAAAAAACAAATGTGAGGAAGGCTGAACTTGATGGACTCAAGTCTCTTTTCAGCTATGTAACTATGTAACTATGTAATATAATATAATGTATAATATATGTAAATTGGAATTATATAATATATTTACTGTTGTTCTACTGTATGATTTCTTTTAGGATTTACCTAGACACAAGAAAAATGTCATGGCATTACCCTACCAGAGACAGAACTTACCTGATTAATCGAGGAGGGCTCTTCTATCTCTTGTGTCAGGGCCAAGCACTAATACATTCACAGGTGCTTCCCTACAGTGGGTCTGCTCACATGCAAGGTTTCTAACTTTAGGTGTATTTTTTAATTAAAGTATGATGTTTCTGTAACTCAAAATGCATGCAAAATAAATTTCAACTTCTTGGTGAACAAATTTAATTGATTCCTAATAACTCAGACTTTAATAAATAACCCTTACAGCTATCCTTAAGAAGTACCCAAAGTACAGATAGATTTTATTTTGGATGGAATGCATATGATTTTTGAAAATAATTTCTTCTGGTTCAAAGGAGATTTTTATTTGCAGTGCATGGGTACAGCGATGGGGACTAGGTTTGCCCCAAGTTAAGCTTATTTATTTATGTGATAGTGGGAAAGTCAGTATGTCTTTCCCAAATATAGAAATGGGGAACATTTGGTCCTCTACAAGTGATATATTCATGATATTTTTATCATCCAGAGAGGAGGTGGAAATTCCCTCCTAGAATTTAAATGAAATAATTGGAATATTCAGCTTGCTCATGCTATTAGCAAATCCAGTCTTAATTTTTTAGACCTAGAAGTTTTCATAAAAGAAGATCATTTTAAAAGTAGGAGATTTTTTAAAACGGTAGATGTCAATAGTTTTATTGATCTTAAAAGTTGTCATTATAGATCTTGGTTTAGTAATATCACAAAAGGACAATTCCTCAGTCTAAGAAGAAATTGTACGGATATAAAAGAATATAAAACCAAGCCAATCATTTAAAAGATACATTTTTAAAAATCAGATTATAATGATCAAGTTTTTAATTGTCTCAACATTATTCATTAACCCTAGAAAATACAATATTTGGGGTAAATGGATTGAGACTCTGGATGCTATACCATGAGTCTTGGGGCTTGTTACTTGCTGTCAGGTTCAAATTGGTAAATCTGTTTCGGAGATCTGTCTGTGGTGCCTAAGACCGGCTATCCTTGTGGTTTCCCAAACACGTGTGTCTTTGTATAATTATTGTCTTTGTATACTTGTTGTCTGTGCCATTCATAGCTTAAATTTATGATTGCAATGCTTAATGTTGATTACATTAATGGGAATTTTTACTGTATGTATGTATGTATCTATGTATGTGTATACTGCTCTTATTAAAGTCACTAACGACCTTATTGCAGCTAAATCCAACAGGGCACTACTCAATACTAATTCTTCTTGACCTCTCTGCTGCCTTTGACACTGTTGACCATGTTCTCCTTCTCCAAAATCTTCAATCACTCGGTCTCTGTGACACTGTCCTCTCTTGGTTTTCCTCCTATTTCTCCCAACACTCATTCCTTGTCTCCTTTTCTAATGATACCTCCTCCCTTCGTCCTGCTTCTGTTGGAGTCCCCCAAGGCTCTGTACTTGGTCCCCTTTTATTCTCTCTTTATACTACCTCTCTTGGCAAACATATTACCTCATTTGGATTCCAATACCATCTGTATGCTGATGACACTCAGATATACCTCTCATCCCCTGACCTCTCCCCTGACGTCCTGCAACGTGTCACTGCTTGCCTTTCTTCCATCTCTGATTGGATGTCCTCCCGCTTTTTGAAACACAATCTCTCTAAAACTGAACTCCTTGTCCTGATATGCAGGTATGTTCCTTCTCTGTCTCTCCGCTCTGCCCATGACCTTCTCCTGTCTGCTGCTTGCACCCGTACAGCCAACTCATGCTTGCAGGACCTCTCACGAGTGGCTCCTTTCCCTTGGAATAGCCTGCCTATGACCATCATGCTCCCCTAGTCTTCAATCATTTAAAAAGTGCCTCAAAACCCATCTCTTTAGGAAAGCTTATGGCCTCCCAGCGTAAGCTCTACCTCACATACCTGTCCTTTGCCCTCTCCTAAAGGGCAGCACTCTATTCTCTCCTCCAGCTCTGCTTCACTCCACCTGGTTTGATATTCCTGAAAGAGACCGACCGCACAGCCTGATTTCATGGAACTATTTTGGGCAGGCGCCTCGTGTGCGGTCGGTCTAAACTATACCCCGGTGGTTTCGGCTGCGTTCGTGGGATCTAGACATTTCAGAATATGTTGGGCGCTCAGATCCACGCTATCCGGGGATATAGAACTTGAAGGGGTATCTCATTGTTAAATATGTATTTTGAGGAATTTTTCTTATGCCTGTCCTGGACCTGAGAGGCAATGTAATTATGTGTGTGCTTATGTTTCTGTCCCCTCTAAGGTCCAGTGGGGAATACCCCTCTGGAAAATGTTATCAGAAACCCCTTTCATGGGGAGTTGCATAGCCAGCTGTGGCTTCCATTAAAGCAGTTCCAGTTTTACCCTCAACACAGAGCCTGGTCTTTAAGGCAGTACCTGATCAGGGTAAATTTCTATCAAAAATATTTCCAGGGAAAAGGACAAGAAAAAAGAAGTACTGTGACCCACCATTGTTTTAACCTGCTTCCAAAAATTAGATTAGAGAGGGACAGGACCAAAAAATATAAAGCATAAAGCAACATAGAGCAACATCCACAGCAGACCGGAGAGACAGAAGGAAATACATGGATGTTAAGCAACCAATTATCATCTCATTAGGAGCTTTATATGAGCTTCCCAATAAGTAAGGCATCATGATGTACCCTTTATATGAGATGTGGAACAATACAAGGTTTTCACTAAATTTGTTGCCATTCTCACTCCCTTTAAGTCATATAGGGAAGCTTAACTCCTTAAGGACTGCGGACATACTAGGTACGTCCAACAAAAATGGTTCTTAAGGCAAACCTATTACTTACTTAAGATTAAATTGGAATAATTTACTGAACAAATAATTTTTGATGAGTGACAAGGGAAATACAAATTTAACCCTACAGTAGCAGACCTAGAAAAAAAGTGAGTAAAATATTTTTTTCAATTTCAGCATGTGCACTGCAGGGGTAATTTGTAGCACATACATACATAAATACAACAACAGAACATACATATATATATATATATATATATATATATATATATATATACACATGAATAAAATACACAGACTTAGAAATGTGGATAAAAAGGCCATGGTCTTTTATTTAGTCTACAAACATCTTAAAACAGTAACTTTAATCACTTTGAAAAGACATAACTTGTAACCAAAAATATCCAGTCTCAAAACCACCCAGAGATTTAACTCTAACCACCCCATTAGACAGAACTTAAACAAATGTATAACCAATCACAGCTAGTTCACCCACCTTCAAATAGGCAGGTGATCTTACCTCATGACAATAAAATAAAAAATGTATGGAGTGCGGGGCAGCAGCTTTTTAATTTGCACTCTCCTCACGTACAAGAACTCCAGTTAGACCGTTGCTGATGCCCTCGAGCTCCTACTGAAAGCTCGTGCAGCTAAACCTGACCAGATTCCAAGCTCTGAAGCACACACAGGCCCGGACTGGCCATCGGGCACACCGGGCAAATGCCAGGTGGGCCGCGGTGGCCGTGGGCCGAGGCCGGCAGGGGAGGTCTCAGGATCTCCCCTGCCGGTCTATGCAGGGCCGGCACTATCCGAGCGCCGGCCCGGCTATTTGCCATGGAGGACCGATGGGGAGATCAAAGAGCTCCCTCACCGGCCCATTTAAACAGACCTGCGGCTGGGGAGGGAGGGAGAGGAACCGGGCGGAGCTACAAGATAGAGCTCCGCCGGGTCCTCTCCCTCCCTCCCCAGCCGCAGGTCTGTTTAAATGGGCCGGTGAGGGAGCTCTATCTTGGAGAGGACCCGGCGGAGCTCTATCTTGTAGCTCCGCCCGGTTCCTCTCGCGAGATCCGGCGCGTTGCCATGGCAACGCGCCGATCTCGCGAGAGTGAACTCTAGCCCTCAGGCTAGAGCTCACTCACCACTGGACCACCAGGGATGATGTGAGTGTGCCTGTCCCCCTCCTCCCAGCTACCACGTGCCTGTCCCCCCCTCCCAGGCTAAAGGTAAGAGGGAGGGGGGGATTTAATTTTTTTTTTATTTCTTTATTTACCCCCCTTAGTTTTTTATTTGTTTATTTACCCCCACACACACACACACATTTATACACAGCACTCTCACACATCACACTCTGCACTATCACACATCACACTCTGCACTCTCACACACATCATACACACCACTCTCACACTCAGTACTCTCACACACATCACACTCAGCACTCTCACACACATCACACTCAGCACTATCACACACATCATACACAGCACTCTCACACTCAGCACTCTCACACACATCATACACAGCACTCTCACACACATCATACACAGCACTCTCACACATCATGAGTGATGACAAAACACACCCTCTCTGGCCCGCCCCCTTCTTAGAGGGCCGCTGTGATAAAAAAATGCCCGGGCCGAATTTTTTTCCCAGTCCGGCCCTGAGCACACATGTGTACATGGTTGATTGACCATGTACTGTCTGTTTGGTCTAGAATTTGTTGCTTCCTTTCCAATCTCTTAAAGTTTTCAGTTTAGTGAATAAACCCAATTAATAAAAGAAATTGTCCAAAGTTCAATTATCCTGGTGAAAATGATATGATACACTTTATTGCATTAAATATAGCCTAAAATTTGCAATTCCCTTATCAATCATTAAAAAGTCCCTGTTTAATCAACACATTGCAATTTCTTTTTGTAATGTCACAATAGTAAAATATATTAAAGATTAAAATGTTACATGCTTTGTATAAAGCAATGTTTTGTGTCCTTTGTGTCCACACTTGTTTATTTTGATCTCATACACCTCATTATAACATGGAATTATGAAATGAGACATCCTGAATACTATTTGATTTTATTGGGAGACATGTATCTAGTGTCAATAACTAAAAGTATTGATAATAATCATTTTTAGAGCAGCACTTTGCTACAGGGTAAATAAGTAAGTTTAGGTTAGCTTGAACTGGTCCATTGAAGGTGAATTAGAAGATGAGATATAGCTTTTTTTGCCAGCTGAAAGCAGCTCAGAGATTGCTTCAGGATATCTGGCAGAGTGATTTACTAAAGTGTGAATTGTCAGAATGTTAAAATAAATTTAAATACTATAATAAGGAGGAGCATAGATTACTGCAATATAGAAACAAAATTCAAAAAGCATTCCTACTGTGCTACTCACATTTACTGAAGGACATAAAAATTTTTTTACGTAAGTGACCCTTTGCCACAGTCCCAAATAGCGTGAGTAGCACTTCACTGCACTTTATATTCCTGTAGTGCTTTCTTGTATTTTGTATTGCCTTTTTTTGTATTTAATTAAAAATGCATTTCAAAATGTTAATCTCAATAACTTGTTTTAAAACATAGCTGACTTGTTCATTTTTTCAGTTTGACTTTGTTTCACTTAAAAAATTTAATTTATTTTGAATTACAGGTACAAAATAATGAAGTATTACAGTTTCTTGTAAACCATGTTTTATTGAACTAACAAAAATGTTCCATTATAATGGCTTTCACATGCTATGCAAGCTCAATCAGAGATGTAAGTCAGCCAATCAGAGAGCTCTCTCTGAAATTGCATAGTGTGGGAAAGTCCTTATAAGGGCTCCAACATTTTGCATACTTAATCTGCGCTGAGCCTTCCTTGGGTGAAGATGGAATATATATATGTATATGAATTATATGTTATCTTACCATCACGGCAATATTGCCCTGAACACAAAGTCAGATCTGGGCCTGTAGTTGTGGGACGGGCTTGGGTCCTCTTTATAAGGGCTTCCAATCCTCTCTCACTTTACTGTTGTTGGTCTGGCGAGTTAGCCCTCCCACCATTCATTTTATTTACACCACCCTCTAAGGTGGGCCCTCTTTATTACATTTATTACAGGCCTACTGCATTGTCGGTTCTGGCACACCACAACCGGTTGGTGTTATTAACTATGTTTTATTGTATACGAATTATATGTTATCTTACCACCACCAATATTGTCCTGACCACAAATATATATATAGTTGTAATCAAAATTATACAACCCCTTCTGAAAATCAAGTTTATTGTCAAAATGTGCAGACTTTCAGCTGTTTGCCATGAACAAGTCAAACAAAAACAGTTGAAATAGCTCAACACAATACATACTTTAAGTGATTTTCCTAAATTTAACTGATTATGCAACTTATAATGGCATCTCTAGTCTTAAAATAATTAAACCCCCTGAATAGAATCCCTTACAAAAGCACAAATATGCAAAACAGGTGTTGTCTCAAGCACACCTGATGCAACTAATCAAGGGCTTCGTTAGTTCACCAGGTGTGCTTGAGCTGGAACACTTGAAAGATCTGAACTGGCTAGGGTTTTATTTTGAGTGTCACATTTGACTGCATGTTAGAAATATGGATAAGTCAAAAGAACGTTCCACAATGCTAAGAGAAGAGATCATCGCCTTTCACAAACAAGAAACAGGATACAAAAAGATAGTGAATGCACTGAGACACAGTTGAAAGCATAGTTTCCAATTACAAAGTTAAAGGAACAATGAGTACACTATCTGAATGGGTCAGAAAAAGAAAGATATTAATGGCTGCAACCAGCTTTCTGAGAAGCGAAGTTGTGAACAATCCTCGGGTGACTGCAAAAGACCTGCAGCAAGACTTGGTGGCAACAGGCATTGAGGTTTCAGTGAGCACATTATGGCGCATACTAAACGCAGAAGGTTTCCATGCCAGAACTCCAAGAAGCATGTGACAGTAGTCAACATCACTGAGGATGTAGATTTATATAGGTCCCCAGATTACTCATATGTTTTAGTCACTCTGTGCCCATTATAGGTGCAGGGTGTGTATAATGTATGTGTTTGTTGTTAATTATTTTCTTCCCTTTCTCATGGTTTATTGTTTTCCCAGCAGGGCGTTGTCCCATTGGTTAAGGGGCACTTCAAGACCGGTTAAAACTGGCTGCCTTGTGTGACAGATCCTGTCCTAAACCCAGGGTATGGGTAGGGCATCCTCTTGCTTGGGTGGGAAGGAGACTTGATTGTTTCCAGTTTGTTAGAATTATAACAAATATGTGTGAAGCAATTAAACAAAACTGGAACTTTTTGGCCCAATGTATCATTGGTATGTCTGGAGGAAGAAGAATGAAGCATATGCTGAAAAAAACACTTTGCCTACAGTTAACCATGGTAGTGACTCGGTGATCCTCTGGGGGCTACTTTGCATCCTCTGGCACTGGAAACCTTCTGCATGTGGAAGGCAAGATGGATTAATTTTAGTATCAGGCGTTTCAAAGACTTTAATGCTGTCTGTGAGAAAGCTGGAGCTTGGGCATTATTAGACCTTCCAACAAGCTTACCTCAAATTCAGAGGCTTGGTTGGAAAAGAAGCCCTGGAAAATTTTAAAGTGGCCTCACAGTCACCTGACTTGTACCCCATATAAAATCTCTGGTGGGATTTTAAGAAGGCAGTTGCAGCACACAAACCCAAGAATATTACTGAAATGGAGGCAATTGCTTATGATCAATAGCTAAGATTCCTCAAGAACGCTGCCAGAAGCTGGTTTCTCCCTATGTATATGATATGGAAGTCTGTAAATTTTGACAATAAACCTGATTTTTAATGGGGGTTGATTATTTTGATTACAACTGCATGTATGTATTTATATGTATATATGTATAACATATGTATAACATATATAAATATGTATAAAAGATTTGTTGGTCCCCTTCAATGTTATTAATTGTCCATAATTGGAGAGGTGCACAATGACATATACAACCCCTTACCACATTTAAAAGCCAATAGGTTTAGAAGGGTGGACATGCTATTGACTATTAAATAACTCCCTTCTGCTGCCCTTGGTTGAGGGCTGGGGAGACATTAAGTCTAATTTTCTTTTATTTAGAGCCCCACCCTGTTGAATATGGGTGTGGCTAGGAGCAACAAAGCACTCTATTTATTTTAATTATAGACCAAACCCACTGCCCATGGGTGGGTAAAAGGGGAACACTATGCCCCCATGCTTTATTATTGAATTAGAGATCCAACATGGCCAGGGGTTGGAGAGGGATTTGGTAATTCCTCGTTCTCTAAATTGAAGTTCAATGATCCATGGGTGCACCCACTGTTTGGCATACATGTCACCACCTATGGCATGGTGAGTGAGGGCATAGGAAAGGTATAAAACCTGTCTTGTACTAATATGGGGAGTCATAGTGATCCTAAAAATAATAAATTCCACTGCACACTATATATAGTTTAATATATATATATATATATATATATATATATATATATTTAATCAAAAATTTATTTAAAAACACAGTAATACAATATTATCAAATACAGATTCTAAGACATATTTTTTATTTCACAAAAGTAAGTATATAATAATACATGCAAAAGCAAACAGCACAAAAATAATTTATTCCTATATATAGCACCCAGATGCTAAACCCATATTGGAACCACCATCTCTTTAAACCAATTGGTTCCTAAACAACCATAAACATAAAAATTTGGGGGAAAGTAGCTGTGATGGTAGTCACCATCTCCTAGAGTTTCATACGGACACTTTATGTAGGATCTTGGACTACTCCTATGTCTAAGTCAATCTGTGCCCATTATAGGTGCAGGGTATGTTTAATGTGTTTGTTTATTCTTAATTGTTTTGTTTGCTCTCCTGTACTGCTGATGCTTGTTACCAACTAGGTGGATTTGGCTATAGAGTCTGTTGGTAGCAATGGCTAAGAGCTGAAAGTACATT